GTGGAAGTGCAAATAGGGATTTTGATGGGTAAACTACAAAAAATTACCTCAAGTATTGGTGTCACGACACTTTCAATGTCATACCTCATCTTACGAATTTGTGCCAATGTCATACCTCCGTCAGTTTTTCAGTTAATTGCTGACGTGACTTGATCCGGATCCATTTTTTTATTAAAAAATTATTAAAAACTAAAAAAAAATCATTTAATATTTTTAAATATTAAAAAAAAAAAAAAAAAAAACCAACAATCAATTCGTCCCCTTCCCCCCCCCCCCTCTCTCTTCTCCCCATCTTCTTGTTCTTCCCCTTCCTGCAACTTCAACCCAGAAAAACAAAAAGAGGAAAAAAAAAAAATCCAATTTGTCTTCCCCGCACCCAACCTCCCCACCTTCCCACCCACTCTCTGCACCCAACCTCGCACCCACTACCTGCAACCCAAAAAAAAAAAAAAACCAGATCTCGTTGAGAACTTGGGCGCGGAGAAAATGGGGGGAATGGATGTGGAGGGAAAAGGGTGGGTACGCGGGGGGATGGACGAACTGGTATCCTTTTTTTTTTTTTTTCCTTCTCTCTCTTTTTCTTTTTCTTCACGTTGGGTGGGGGGGACATTGGGTTGGGGGGGGGGACGAGGGACTTTTTTTTTTTCTTTTCCTTCTCTCTCTTCTTCTTCTGCATGTTGGGTGGGTGGGTGGGTGGGGGGGGGGGGGCGAGGGACCTTTTTTTTTCTTCTTTTCCTTCTCTCTTCTTCTTCTGCAGGTTGGGTTGAGGGGGGGAAGTTGTTTTTTTTTTTTTTTTTGGGTTGCAGGTAGTGGGTGCGAGGTTGGGTGCAGAGGGTGGGTGCGGGGAGAAGAGGGGGTGGGGAGCGGGGAAGACAAATTGGATTTTTTTTTTTCTGGGTTGAAGTTGCAGGAAGGGGGAAGAAGAAGAAGATGGGGAGAAGAGAGAGAGGGGGGAAGGGGACAAATTGATTGTTGGTTTTTTTTTTTTTTAATAAAAAATGGGCCTCGGATCAAGCCACGTCAGCAATTAACTGAGAAATTAACAGAAAAAATGACGAAGGTATGACATTGGCACAAAATCGTAAGATGAGGTATGACATTGTCAATTTTAAAAGATGATGTATGAAAGTGTCGTGACACCAATAGTTGAGGTAGTTTTTTGTACTTTACTCGATTTTGATTCAAATTCGATATGGATTTAAGAGAGAGACAGGAATGGGGAAGGAATGTGGGATTTGGAGCAGCGCAAGGTGGACGAGGGACTTTTTTTTCTTCTTTTCCTTCTCTCTCTTCTTCTTCTGCAGGTTGGGTGGGGGGGGGAGGGACCTTTTTTTTTCTTTTCCTTCTCTCTTCTTCTTCTGCAGGTTGGGAATGGGGGGGGGGGGAAGTTGTTTTTTTTTGTTTATTTTTTTTTTTTGGGTTGCAGGTAGTGGGTGCGAGGTTGGGTGCAGAGGGTGGGTGCGGGGAGAAGAGGGGGTGGGGAGCGGGGAAGACAAATTGGATTTTTTTTTTTCCTCTTTTTTTTTCTGGGTTGAAGTTGCAGGAAGGGGGAAGAAGAAGAAGATGGGGAGAAGAGAGAGGGGGAGGGGAAAAGGGGATGAATTGATTGTTGGTTTTTCTTTATTATTTTAATATTTAAAAAATATTAAATGATTTTTTTTTGAGTTTTTAATAAAAAATGGGTCCTGGATCAAGCCACGTCAGCAATTAACTGAGAAATTAACAGAAAAACTGACGGATGTATGACATTGTCAATTTTAAAAGATGATGTATGAAAGTATCGTGACACCAATAGTTGAGGTAGTTTTTTGTACTTTACCCGATTTTGATTCAAATTCGATATGGATTTAAGAAAAAGACAGGAATGGGGAAGGAATGTGGGATTTGGAGCAGGGCAAGGTGGACGAGGGACTTTTTTTGTTTTTTTCTTTTCCTTCTCTCTCTTCTTCTTCTGCAGGTTGGGTGGGGGGGGGAGAGACCTTTTTTTTCTTTTTCTTCTCTCTTCTTCTTCTGCAGGTTGGGTGGGGGGGGGGGGAGGGACCTTTTTTTTTCTTTTCCTTCTCTCTTCTTCTTCTGCATGTTGGGAATGGGGGGGAAGTTGTTTTTTTTTTTTTTTTTTTTTTTTGGGTTGCAGGTAGTGGGTGCGAGGTTGGGTGCAGAGGGTGGGTGCGGGGAGAATAGGGGGTGGGGAGCGGGGAAGACAAATTGGATTTTTTTTCCTCTTTTTTTTTCTGGGTTGAAGTTGCAGGAAGGGGGAAGAAGAAGAAGATGGGGAGAAGAGAGAGGGGGGGGGGAAGGGGATGAATTGATTGTTTGTTTTTTTTTTTTTAACTTTTCTTTATTATTTTAATATTTAAAAAATATTAAATGATTTTTTTTGAGTTTTTAATAAAAAATGGGCCCCGGATCAAGCCATGTCAGCAATTAACAGAAAAACTTACGGAGGTTTGACATTGACACAAATTCGTAAGATGAGGTATGACCAGTGAAGAAAATATCGATAATATCGGCGAAATATCGCCGATATTATCGTTTTTTTGGGACCCCGATATTTTATTAACTATCCAACTTGTTTTCGGCAGAATATCGCGATATTTGGTATGGACTCATCGGAGAACACAGCCGGAGCAAATAATCCAAACCCCTAAATCCCCAAATTCTAATTCAAAGCAAATGAACTGAATCTACAATACAGGAATCCCTAAAATCGATTTCAGTACAAAAATCAACATGCAGAAAAATCGCAATCTGTACAAAAATTGTAATTTACAAGCCGAGAAGAACGCCGGAGCAAATTAACCGAATCCCTAAATCCCTAAATTCGAATTCAAAGCAAATGAACTGAATCCCTAATTCCTAAATCCCTAAAATCGATTTCAGTACAAAAATCAAGCAATATGCAGAAAAATCGCAATCTGTACAAAAATAGAAACCCTAATTCCTAAATCCCTAAAATCGATTTCAGTACAACAAAGGTGCAACATGCAAAAAAAATTGAAATCTGTACAAAAATTTAAAGTAAAAGCCGAGAAGAAGAGAAGTAGGAGCCTGGGAACATCGTTTTCCTCACGAATCCAAGACGGCTGGGACAACGTCATGCTCCTCAGTGGTGTCGACGGCTGGGACTACGATGATTTCCGGTCGATCTCCATGGATCAAGGTGGTTTAGAATGCGGTTATCGAGTGGTGTCGACGGCTGGGTTTAGGGCGGGTGAGATGGGAGGAGCAGAGGGAGACACGGAGACACGGACGAGGAGGATCGAGAGATGGATCGAGATTCGAGAGATGATGTCTGTGTGTGTGTGTGGAAGAACTGGAGAAGGGGGAAGGGAGGGAGAAGACTGAGAAGTTCTCAGTGAGAACGAAGGCTCAGACCTCAGAGGGAGAGAAGAGAGAAGAGAGAGATTGAGAGGATTCGAGAATATGGTAGTGGGAAATGAATGATCGAGAGAGAGACTGAGCTCCGTGTGTGGTGTACGTGTGTGGTGTGCGTGTGTGGTGTGCGTGTGTGGTGTGGTGTGGTGTGGGGGGTCTCGAAGTGTGTGTGTGGTGGAGTGTGAGTTCTTCACTCTTTTTTACTGTCTGAGTGGTGGCGTGTAAGAAAAAAAAAGCATCCAATGCTCCAAATTATTCAAAACCAAATCATTCCAAACCTATGTCTAGCTCTCTGATCCAATGATCCAAATAACTTTTTGCAATTTCAGAACATGGACAACAAATAATACTGCTTTCATAATGAAAAATTTGAACCTCATAGGAACTCTATGTGGTACTAAAGTGTAAAATATTGTACTAATTCATTATATATAAATGATTATGGTGTGTTTAGACTTCTTTCATTAATTACTACATATTTTCTACACTCACAATATTTGTCAGATCGCTATATAATCAACTTGATAATGTTAAATCCATCATGCAATGCATTTCCTTCCAATTTTTTGTGATAAACTAATAGATAATTGACTAAATAAACATCCTACAAAGTTTCAATAAAAATTTCCAAGTTTTTCTTACAATTTCCGTGGGTTCCATGTAATTTTTATCGATATCGATATTTTACCGATATTCCGTCGATATTTCCGTGTTTTCGGACTACCGATATTTCCGATATTACCGATATTTTCTTCCTTGGGTATGACATTGTCAATTTTAAAAGATGATTTATGAAAGTGTCGTGACACCAATAGTTGATGTAGTTTTTTGTACTTTACCCGATTTTGATTCAAATTCGATATGGATTTAAGAGAGAGACAGGAATGGGGAAGGAATGTGGGATTTGGAGCAGCGCAAGGTGGATAACGAAAGTCTCTCAAAATAGGCTCTTCTCCACCTCATCTTTTTAGCACATAATTTTATAACGATGACACAAGAATTATGACACAAATATGAGGTGTCAGAGGAGAAATTTTTGATGGATGATATCCATGTGTTTTTATATAAGTGATGATAAATTTTATTTTTTAATTTATTAACTTTCTAATACACATATCCGACAATTTGTATAGTGACACGTGGTGTACCATATCGTGTACCGGTCACACTTAAAAATCTCTCATAAGAGTTTATGAAGAATCTAACTTTTGAGAAATGATATTATCTAAACTAGAGGGAAGGGGTTGGGTTGGATTAGTAATAATATGATTCACATTCGTCTTAGCAAGAATCGAATCTAAGACCTCTTACTTATAAATGAAGGGCACAATTACAATTTAAAATTGTGTAGAATATTTCCTGCATGGAAAGAAAAACAAATTTGAAATGCACATGGTCAAAATTGGTCAATCCATATTTAATCCCAGTGAAAATTTGTATTTCCCGCTCCACACAAATACAGAAGCACAACCGAACCACCTGAGCCTAAACATCACCATCCAACCGTCCAAATATTTTAAAACAAGCGGCCACAGATTGCGATCCGCGTGACTCCCTCTCAGTGGCTCTAGTTCTCTTAAAGCGGCGAACCCCCCTATATAAACCTAGAAACTTCCCATTCCACTCATCCCGCGAAATCATTACTTCATTCACTTCGCAAATACTTGAGACTCTCTCTCTCTCTCTCTCTCATATCTGAATCCATGGCTGGAAGAGGAAAATCAATCGGCTCCGGTGCCGCCAAGAAGGCCACATCTCGGAGCAGCAAGGCCGGTCTTCAGTTCCCCGTCGGCCGTATCGCCCGGTTCTTGAAAGCCGGCAAGTACGCCGAGCGTGTGGGCGCCGGCGCCCCTGTCTACCTCGCCGCCGTCCTTGAATACCTCGCCGCCGAGGTCAACTTCTCAATCTAAACCTTAATTGCTCTTCAATTCTGCATCTTTATCTTCTTGGCTTTGTTTTCTTTTATAATTTTTTTAACTTTGATTTGTAGAATAAAAGTTGATTTTTCTTAAATTTTGATTTGTTTAGGTTTTGGAATTGGCTGGAAACGCCGCACGTGACAACAAGAAGACGAGGATTGTGCCGAGGCACATCCAGTTGGCTGTCAGGAACGACGAGGAGCTCAGCAAGCTGCTTGGCTCCGTCACCATCGCCAACGGCGGCGTTATGCCCAACATCCACAACACGCTCCTCCCCAAGAAAACCGGCACCGGCAAATCTGGCCCCGCCGAAGACTAAAATTTGAGCTTCGATTAATTCCCTTTTGTAAAAATAGAGGACAAAAAATGGAGATTAGTGTGGTTTAGATTAGGTTAGCTTTGCAGTTTTTGGGTTGTTTTTGTGATTTTAATGTTCAATCTACTTGAAAGAAATGAAATTCTGGGTCCAATTTGTTGTTCATTAAATTCAATCTCCACCTTGAAATTTTAAATTTAATGGTTGCATATCAAGAAACAAAATTGACATGAAATTCGAATTGGGGTTTCTCAAAATTTGAAAACTGACGGTTGATTGAGCAGTTTTTCAAGTGTATCTGTGCTTTTATATTCTATCTACTGGATAAGAATTTCTTGTCCAATCTTTTCTTCGTATAATTTGAGCTTTGAAAAATATTACGGGTTGGAAATACATAATTAATGCTGCGAAACAAAAACGGATGAGTGTAGATGGATATTGCAGAATCGGATTTGCGATGAAGAAAATGAGAATGCGAAAATCACTTTCTGTTTGGAAATTTGTGAGCATTTTGACGATTAAGCTGGAGGTCCAGTTGGGTTGCTGTGTATTTGTGGTATGGGTTTCCCTTCTTTGATGTAGGCTTTGGCAGAGACATAATATGCAATGATGAACAATCCATGGAAGAAGCATAAGATTCCTCCTATCAACAGAATCCGACGGTGCGATAAGCCGCACGATTTTCTCGACTTCGAGTTTAACAACGTCCCGGCAATCAGCAGTGAAAGTGCTGCCGCCAATGTTATCCTGCAGGATATAGATTTTAGACTTGTGCTAAATTGCTAATCATGATTAGAAAGTTAATTAATGTTTGTAATTACCATGATAAGATGAGGAAAGCAACTGCTAGTTGCTTGTTTGCTGTGGTTTCTTGGTAATCTTCTCTGGACCTTATGCAGATGCATCCACCAATCAAATTGCCTACTACATGTGCAGCTGCTAGGATCACAGCAGCAGCTAACCCTAGTTTGAAGGCTTGGTAACTTTGGTCTTTGCACTCAAATACCCCCACCTTCAAATGGTGCACCTGTTTTTTACGTGCCAAGGAATTTCCATCTGTAGGTTAGTTATTGAAATCAAGGGCATTGCTCGGCTCGTTACACGTGCCATCGTTAACTCGTTATAATCAAGGAAACATAAGTTTATGTATACGCGTCAAAGAGTGATTTGTCTGCAATGAAGAATGACTGGATTACCTTGTTTTGAGCAATCTCAGCCGAGAGGAGTCATATTTTTAACCATCTTTGCCGGGTTGGTTGAAGGAGGAGGAGGAGAAGGCGGAGGAGAGGCTGTCTATCTGACAGATTAGGAGGGGAAATTAGGTGTGGTTTTTGGGTAAAAGCTTCTTGTCTTAACAGTTCTTACTTATGCCTGTTGTTATTCTTTGCTTTTTGAATCTTGGCTTCCTTTCATGGGGAGCAAGGAAAGCAGAGTATCATTCCAATGGAATTGGGTTCGGGAATGGGAATGGGAGATTAACTTTGATGCTTACGTGTATGACAGCTGAGAAGAATCACATTCTTCAAATTATTCCTTCAAATCCATAAGCTCCTTTGTCCAGGAATCATATGGTCATTTTTTGGGAGATTAGAGTGGCTAGGGTAGTGCTTTTGCGTTTTGGCACCCAAGTTTGTCCAGGAATCACACTCTTCGTTCTTTTGTTCCGCTGTTATGCGAAGGTTAGTTCGTTTGTGCAAACAAATAGCATAGCACAAAGGACTAAATAGGAGGAAGAAAAGGGCTTCAACCTTAAGAAATGTAGAATGTCAGTTTAATGGCATGAAATCATCAAATCTGTCGGGTGTATGTAATTTCGATATCTGTTTCGCTTTGATCACTGGGCTGCATGATACCATGAATAAGAATTGTTCAAGTTGTGAAAGGAAAACCATGTTGGTCCTATGTTTCTGATGACCCTGTGCCCCCAAGTGTGTGTTTACTGATATTACTTCGATGAAAATTTGTGCAGTCATTTTCTGAGACTGATGATTTTTTCTTCTTGCATTCATCTTTCCGATTATTGCTTTTCGACTGTGATGGTAACATCTTCTTGCCGCGTGCTCTGATCATATTACACGAAAGATGGGAGCACCTGTATGTTTACTGGTTATATACTTATGAACAAGATTGTTGTCTTTGTTTAGAATTTGTTGAAGACGTTGATCTTATGATTACGAGGGCTGAGAGATGCTTAGAAGCTGGGGCCGATATGAGAACGATCGACGCTGATGATGTCCGTAAAGACGCTGGCTCGATGCATGCAGACATAATCGCAAAGGTCATCGGGCGTCTTGGTGCGGAGAGGACCGTGTTCGAAGCTTCATATCCGAGAACATCAGAGTGGTTCCTTAAACAATATGGTCTTCTCCAAGAAAAACCATATGGTGTTGAGTTGATTTTTAAAATAGACCATGAAGTTCTAATTTCTCGCATTGTGAGACAAAAAGAGATTTTTGCCGGATCTCTTCCATCAAGGCCACCAGATCAAGTGATCCGGCCCTTCCAAATTTCATCCAACAGTCCACCTATTTTGATTTTTAAAAGGTTGTGATAATTTTTTGCCATTTGATGAAATTTGAAAGGCCCGGATCACTTGATCCGGTGGCCTTGGTGGAAGAGATTTGGAGATGATCTCTTTCCTTGTAAGACAAAGTTTTAAAATTGTACACATTAGCCCATTTAAGAGTATTTTCAAAAGAGATGTCAAATTTTAAATATAAAATATGGATTTGACCGTCTATGTTTTTCTTTCCGTCCGAAACATCAATTAAATGATTATAATAAATGTTTTAAAACACTCTCCAAAAATATAATTAATAAAATTTGTTTGTACCATATTTGACCAATTCCAAAACGACTGAGTACTGGTCAACGTTATACCTTCAAAGATCCACAAGGTTTCCCTCCAACCAGAAGACCAATCACATCGCAACACGTGTCGACATTATAGGCCAATCATAGCGCGACACGTGTCAACATCAGAGACCAATCACAACATGGCATGTGTCAAAGTCAAAATAAAGCTAGAGACCCTCTTCTATAAAAGGGGATCATTCTCTCACAATATTTCCTAATGTCATTTGTACTAAATCATTCACTAGCACTCACTAAAGTAGAGCTTGAACCTATGTACTTGTGTAAACCCTTCACAATTAATGAGAACTCCTCTATTCCGTGGATGTATCCAATCTTGGTGAACCACGTACATCTTGTGTTTGCTTCCCTCTCTCTATCCATTTACATACTTATCTACACTAGTGACCGGAGCAATCTAGCGAAAGTCACAAACTTGACACTTTATGTTGTACCAAAATCCTCACCAATTTTGTGCATCAACAAAATTCATTTATAATTAATTAAAAAAAATTGAAGCTACTGTCAATTTGGCAACAAAGGTGAGGTTTAACAATCTATGTCATATTACATCAAATTTGACTTTTCAATTGAAAAATATTGGTGCTGCTAGTTTTTATATCTCATTTAAAAATGCTTCAAGAGTTTTAAGCTCATTATGTTATCAATTTAATAAAATATTATACAATCAATCAAATCAAAAACATAAATTAATACAATTTCAATACTTTTTAAGTTCAATACAAGAAAAATGAAACTCTGACATTTTGTTAATCATTCTGAATTTAAAAAATGTAAAATATAATTATATTTTTTCTTAAGAGAAAAAAAGTATACAAATGTTATTTCACCTTCCCTTTTGGGGTAGGTGCTTTGAGTGGAAGATGGCCTACTAGTGTGATTGCACGTTTCAGAATGTTAGTTCATCTCAACCTGGAAGATGGACAAACGATTAGAAATTTTTTATTATGATTCGAACATGAATGATACGTCACGTATTTTTAAATAAGTGATGAAAAATTTTATTGTTTAAGTTATTAATTTTTTAATACATATATTTCATAATTTGTATAATTACTGTACCGGTGAAAAATCCCTCATAAACGACCGAGTCACCGACAGTGTTTAGCCTGGGACGTGACCATTCACTGTTTCCATGTTCCGTTGACCTGTAGGTTCTCCCGTATGTTATGTCGAAAAACTCCTTTGACCTCTTCACCAAAAAACAAAAAAAAAAAACTCCTTTGACCTGGGGCGGTATTTACGACGGAAGGACCAAAATTGTTGGTGGTGCCTAGATCGTCACGTGCTCACCTTCTTCCTCTTCCGATCGGATTAAATGAACTTCTGCAACAACAGCGACAACGCCTCCGCGGTCTATTTAACCAGTAAAGCCCCCAGTACACAAAACAGAAAACACCAGTCCCATAATTCCCAGCCACCTTTCCAGTTCAAACTTTGATAGAGGAAGTGGAAGCCATGGCCACCCAACAACCCATCTCAAAGAAGACGGCTTGCGTCGTCGGCGGCACCGGGTTCGTGGCGTCTCTGCTGGTCAAGCTGCTGCTCCAGAAGGGCTACGCCGTCAGAACCACCGTCAGAGACCCAGGTCAGACTCCCTCTTCCCCTTTTTTTCTCGGACGATATTTTAAAAGGAAACTAATGGAACGAGTTTGAAAATTTTAAGTTTTAACGATAAAGACAAAATAAGACAAAATAAAGTTAAAATAAATAGTACTATGATTAATTTTTTAATGTAAAAATATGATTTTTCGTTAAAATAAACAGTATCGAAAGCTTTTCGTTAAAATTCTCTATTTTAAACTACTTTCAGTACAGGCTGCTGCCCCACTTTCAGTCCTCCTGTTTAAGCTGTTCTGTGTAGCTATGACCTAGCTTCATTTTAGTACCGTCACACTAATTTTTTTTTCTTTTCTCTCGTTTCTAAACAAAAAGAATTCAAACTTCAAAACGCCGTACTTGTGATGTAATTACTGACTCCAATATGACCATTAGGCTAGAGGTATCAGTAACAAGATAAGGTAAAAGTTCCCAGAATGATCTAATTACCGATCTGAATTTACTGTTGGACTACAAAGAGGCCTAGGTAATTTTGTAGGTTATCAGTAAATTTTGAGAACAATCTGAACTTTGGTATCAGTAAAATTCTTGTTTTACTGTGCTGGCCATGAATTGGTTTTCATTTTTTGATACAATTGGGTGCAGACAATCACAAGAAGGTCTCCCACCTCACATCACTACAAGAGTTGGGTGAGCTAGAGATTTTAGCAGGAGATCTGACTGATGAAGGGAGCTTCGATGCTCCGATAGCAGGTTGTGATCTTGTTTTCCATGTTGCAACCCCTGTCAACTTTGCCTCAGAGGACCCGGAGGTACGGATTTATGATAATTTCTTGATTAAATGTTGCATTCTGTAGAGCTCATGTAGCTTAAGTATTGTGCTAATAATGTCATTGTCAATGAGCAGAACGACATGATCAAACCGGCAATCCAAGGGGTACTAAACGTTCTGAAATCGTGTGTGAAGGCCAAAACAGTTAAGCGTGTTGTTTTGACATCATCAGCTGCTACAGTTTCGATCAATACACTTGAGGGAACAGGTTTGGTCATGGACGAAAAAGATTGGAGTGATTTGGAGTTCTTGACTACTGTAAAGCCACCCACTTGGGTAAATCACCAAATCCTTTGTGTCTAATCTTTTATCTTCTGTATGTAATGCTCAAGCTAAGACAATGGGGCTATTGTTTAGAAATTCGCCTAGGAAAGCAACACTGATTAAACGAGAGTTTTTTTCTCAAATTTCTCAACTTTTCAGGGGTACCCTGCCTCCAAGACACTAGCTGAGAAGACAGCTTGGAAATTCGCCGAAGAGAACAATATTGATCTCATCACTGTGATCCCTTCTCTTATGGCTGGTCCTTCTCTCACTCCAGACGTCCCCAGCAGTATCGGCCTTGCCATGTCTTTAATCACAGGTTTGAAGCCGGAAACTAGAACGATGAACTACTACTTGCACTATATCTCCGATACACATGGTGTTCTGATGGTATCTCTTACTGTTTTACAGGAAATGATTTCCTCATAAATATGGCCTTGAAAGGTATGCAAATGCTATCAGGTTCGATATCCATTTCACATGTGGAGGATGTCTGCCGGGCGCATATATTTTTGGCTGAGAAAGAATCTGCTTCTGGTCGGTACATTTGCTGTGCTGCCAACACCAGCGTTCCTGAGCT